TCTGGACATGGAAAGAGACTCTAATTAAATAATTATAGTAAGAAATATAAAATTACAGTAGCTATATATCCTATGAAAAAGTGCTACATAATAAAGAGAGGAGTGACCTAGGTTTTTTGGATAGGGTTTCCCTGAGTTCCCTGAATTGAGAACTCCAGGATATGTTAGAGTTAGGCAGGCAAGAGAGAGTTATCACCACAGGTCATTTGCACATGCTGCTCCTTCTATCTGGACTTTTTTTTTTTTTTTTGAGACGGAGTCTCACTCTGTTGCCCAGGCGGGAGTGCAGTGGCACAATCTCTGCTCACACTGCAGCCTCCACCTCTCGGGTTCAAGCAATTCTCCTGCCTCAGCCTCCCGAGTAGCTGGGATTACAGGTGCCCGCCACCATGCCCAGCTTATTTTTGCATTTTTAGTAGAGATGGGGTTTCTCCATATTAGTCAGGCTGGTCTCGAACTCCTGACCTCAGGTGATCCACCCGCCTCGGCCTCCCAAAGTGCTGGGATTACAGGCGTGAGCCACTGCACCCGGCCTATCTTGACTATTCTTTACATAACTCCTACAATTTAATCCCTCAGTTCTCTACTTGAAAGTAAGACCTCTGCAAAGTCACTCCTAACTATTCTATTATTCCACAACTTCTCTTTTCTTTTCTTTCTTTCTTTTTTTTAATTTTAATGAGGTCTCACTCTGTTGCCCAGGCTGGCGTGCAGTGGCATGATCATAACTCAATGCAGCCTTGAACTGCTGGGCTCAAGTGAGCCTCCCACCTCAGGCTCTAGAGCAGATGGTACTACAGGCATACACCACCATGCCCAGCTATCAACTTGTCCTTTTTCAGCAAACTCAAGATATATTAAAACTCTTCACATTTAAAATTACTCTATACAGGCTGGATGCGGTGGCTTGTGCCTGTAATCCCAGCACTTTGGGAAGCCAAAGTCGGAAGATCACTGGAGGCCAGGAGTTTGAGAACAGCCTGACCAACACAAGGAGATCTCTTCTTTACACAAAAATAAAAAATCAGCTGCATATAACAGAGCACACTTGAAATCCTAGCTTTACTTGGGAGGCTGAGCTGGAAGGACTGCTTGAGCCTAGGGGTTTGAGGCTGCAGTGAGCCGTAATCATGCCACTGCACTCCAGTATAGGCAGCAGAGCAAGACCCTATCTCAAAGTATGTAAGCAAGCAAATAAATAAATAAATAAATAAAACTGCTCTATATACATAAGATGAAAAATGCCAGAGGTCACATCTATTTTACTATCTGTGATTTCCCCAATGTCAACAACACTCCAAAAACATTGTTAGATTAATTAAAAGTAAGAACTATGTCTTAGACCAGTAGTTCTCAAATTGCGGTTCACAGATCAGCAGCATCAGCATTACATGGGTGTCGACAGAAATGCAAACTTTCATAGTGGTTCATGTCTATAATTCCAGCACTCTCGGAGGCTGAGGCGGGAGGATCACTGGAGCCCAGGAGTTCGAGGCCAGCCTAGGCAACATGGCGAAACCCCATCTCTACAAAAAATATAAAAATTAGCCCGGTGTGATGGTGGGCACCTGTGGTCCCAGCTACGTGGGAGACTGAAGTGAGAGGATCGCTTGAGCCTGGGAAGTCAAGGCTGCAGTGAGCTGTGATCATGCCACTGCACTTCAGCTTAGGGACAGAGCAAGACCCTGCCTCAAAAAGAAGAACTACACTCAGGCCCTGCCCTCAGTTCACGGCAACCTCTGCCTCCCGGGTTCCAGTGATTCTCCTACCTCAGCCTCCTGGGTAGCTGGGATTACAGGCATATGCCACCACACTCAGCTAATTTTTGTATTTTTAGTAGACATGAGGTTTTGCCATGTTGGCCAGGCTGGTCTCGAACTCCTGACCTCAGGTGATCCGCCTGCCTTGGCCTCCCAAAGTGCTGGAATTACAGGTGTGAGCCATCATGCCCAATCAAGAATTCATCTTAAACATCTCAACTATTCAAACGCAACCTAATTAACATTTAACAAATGGCCGGGTGCGACAGCCTGGGCGACAGAGCGAGACTCCATTTCAAAAAAAAAAAAAAAACAAATATAAAATACAAAGCTTTATAATAACCATTCATTCAGCTGTATTTATTATCTACGAAAAATACTGCACTAGGAAAAGTAGCCTCTACTGATAATTCCTAGCTCAAAATGAGCTAATATTTTGCCTTCTCCTCATGTCTCCCATACATACACTGTTACTCTGTGTGTACATGTTTTAACCATCAAGGAAAAATCAAGTTAATTAGATGCAAAGTTTAAAACATAATCATGCCTAATATGTCTGCTGTGGCCTGAATGTTTCTGTCTCCCTAAATTCATATGTTGGAATCCTAATTCCCAAGGTAATGGTATGAGGAGGTGGGGTCTTTGGGAGGTGATTACATCACCAGTGTAGTGCCCATATGAATGGGATTAGTGCCCTTATAAAAGAGGCCTCAGAGAGCCACCTGGCCCCTGCCACCACGTGTGAAAACAGTGAAAAGGTGACTCAGGAACAGCCCTCACGAGACACCAAATCCGCTGGGGAACTGATTTTGGACTTCCCAGCTTTCCGAACTCTAGAGAAATAAATTTCTGTTGTTGACAAGCTACCTAGTTTATGGTATTTTGTTACAGTAGATTGACTGGGCTAAGACAATATCTTGCTTGCCTCATTTCCTACTACACATCTTCATTCTTGCATCCTTCCATGCTATATAATGGTAATACTACTTCCTACAATGCATCCTAATTCCTTCCTACTTTCTTTCTTTAAAAAAAAAAAAAAATCCCTGTGAGGGCATCCTTTCTACTTGCGACTCATATTCATGAGGCATTCTTCCCCTTCCCAAAATGATCTAAAAAACCCTATTCAACTTTCAGGCCAAGCTCAAAGGACACTTTCGAATCCTAAATACCTCAAGCGGAGTTCATAACTCCTCCCTCTCATACATTCATTCTCAGTGGAAGGGCCCACACTTTCAAAAATCTAGCAATGTGATGTCTTAGGTAGGATGGCTCTTTATTCTGAAAAGTATATCATCATACCTCACTCAATATCATTTTTGCACCAAAATTAAGATTCTCTGCCCAGGCGTGATGGCTCATGCCTGTAATTCTAGCACTTTGGGAGGCCAAGGTGGAGGATGGCTTAAATCCAGGAGGTCAAGACCAGACTGGGCAACACAGCGAGACTCCATTTCTACAAAAAGTTTTACAAATTAGTGGGGCATGGTAGTCCATGCCTGTGGTACCAGCTACTTGTGAGGCTAAGGTGAGAAGATTGCTTGAGCCCAGGAGTTCAAGGCTGCAAAGAGCCATGATTGTGGCACTGCACTCCAGCCTGGGCCACAGAGCAAGATCATCTCCAAACAATGATTCTCAGACTCACTCTTTCTGTGTAATCCACTAGCTACCTCAAATTTCAATTTAAGTTTATACTAGTCAGGTGGGAAATGAGACCATAAAGTGAATCATTCAAGCACCTAGCTGGCCTGGGCACTTGGAATAACAAGTAAGGCACGGTTGCTACCTAGAACTTACATTCCACAGGGAGAAACAGGTTAGCATACAATAACAGTGTGTGAAAGTGAAGGAGACAGACACAGGGAAATGACAGACTAAAAATGCAGGAGCGAGTTAGGGAAAATTCATAGATTAAATAATAGTACATCACTTTTCTAAAAAACAGATGGAGGGAAAAAAAGAAACTGACTAACCTCCTAGGGGAAGATAATTATCAGGACTTAGTTGTGCCTTATTCCTCCCAGAGACCAAAATTTAGCTTGTTGCATATGTTGGAGCAATGTTTTCAATAAATGTACAGCAAACCACTTATAACCCAACTCAATGAAAAAATCCAACTGAAGCCTCAACCTATTTTCAAACAGAAAGAAAATTTGCAAATATAAGGTTCTCCCAACTAAAGGCAGACAGGACAAAACAAATGAACTCTTTAGAAGGTTTAAAGAGACAGTCACAACCTGCCAAGCTGATTGTCAGTCTTCAAATGCCCTTGGTCTCTGCCTCCAAATGAAAACAAATCATTTAAGTAATAATAGTCAAGTCTGTAAACAAGTATTTTTAAATTTCTCCAGCTGTACCTCCACATTAAAAGATGCTCAAAAAAAAAAAAAAAAAAAAAAAAAAAAAGAAAGAAACTCAAAACATTTTTTAGCTATTTCTGTCAAAAGACTAGATCTCTCCTGAGGTCACAGTATGCATGCTGGCCCTCACTTCATTGCTCTGTAACACACCACCACTCCGGTTTTGCAATGACACTAGTTAATAGGCTTCCAGGATCTCTTCAATGCCCCCAAAAACGAAAAGGAAGAAGCAAGTCTACAAATCCCTATTTGCCCGACCTACAGCTCCCGGGAAGCAACAGTCCTCAAATTGTTACTGCTTAGACCCCTGAAGCCCGTAGAAGGAAATGGGGACAGCTGCGAAAGCGAACTGAGCGAGGACATCCGATAAGGGAAGAGGAAACGTGGATGGGAGAGGACGAAGGGGAGAAGGAACATGGAGAGGAGGGGGCAGTGGAGATAAAATGGTGAAGAGGGGTGAAAAGAGCAAGGAAGAGCAGCGAAAAATAGGGAGGAAAGGGGGGGGAAGTAAAATTCACATAAGAGAAAAAAAGTCAAAATGATAGAGGAGAAAGGAGGGAAGGGTTAGGGTTAAAGGACAAGGAGTGGGCGACAAAAGGAATGAGAAAAAGGCTGTCACTGGGAGTGATAAAAAGGATGTCATCGGGTAGAAGGGAGATTCAGGGGATGTCACCTAAAGGGGTTCACCCCAGCAGGTGAATGGGGGAGCACGGGCAAGGAGGAGCTGGACATCGAGGGGGCGGTAACGAGGGAAAGAGGTAAAGGCAGGGAGCCCGAGGGGGCACCAGAGACAAGGAGGGGCAAGCTCGCAGGGGCTAGCGCGGCGGGCGGGGGCTAGGGTGGCGGGCGGCTGCGGCTAGGGCAGGCCTTGCTCCCTCACCATGGCTGCGCCGGCCTGGTCCTCGGGCATGCAGCCTCCGTCCTGGGTGCGGCGGCGGGCCGGACCGGAGCCCGCCCCCAGGCTGAGCCGGCGCGGAGGCTCCAGGAGGCTCCGGCGAGCGGCGGCTCCGGGCTTGGCCCAGGCCTCGGCCTCTTTCCCTTAAGCCAGAAGTGTAGCTGTAGCAGCAGCAGCCGCAGCCGCAGCCTCAGCCGCAGCCCGAACCCGAGCGCAGACTCCGCCCCCGCGAGGACCCGCCCGGGCGCGCGAGCCCGCGCTTGGCCCCGCCTCCGCTCTCAATGCGCAGACTCAGCCGAGGGCTCCCGCCCCCCCAGCCCGACCTGTAGTTTCTCCCCCTCCCAGACCCTTAAAGGAGCAACACACCCCCAAATCCTAGCCTCCCTTCAAAATATGAAGAGCTTTAAATATTACATTATGACAAGAGATTAGAGCACCGCTCGCTTAGGTCGCCTATAGACCCCTCTGTCACTCATCATCATTCTTTAAGATTTGGGCTTCTGGTTCACTGTCATTCATTACTACTATTGTCAAAATTCTTGGTGATTTCAAAATTCGCTTAATTCTTCCAATCCTCTGGCCTCTCAGATTCTTCTCTAGGGATCATTCTTGGCTCAGCCTCTCACTCTCATGCTCATACGAATAATTGTAACTTCTCTACAGTCTTAATTTTAATCCTCTAACTCCCATCGCAACCTTCTTCCTTCCTTTCTTTCTTTTTTTTTTTTTCTTTTTTTTTTTTTTTTAGTTTCGCTCTTTTTGCCCAGGCTGGAGTGCAGTGGTGCGATCTCGGCTCACTGCAACCTCCACCTCCCGGGTTCAAGTGATTCTCCTGCCTCAGCCTCCCGAGTAGCTGGGATTACAAACACCCGGCACCAAGCCTGGCTAATTTTTGTATTTTTAATAGAGGCGGGGTTTCACCATGTTGGTCAGGCTGGTCTCGAACTCCCGACCTCAGGTGATCCACCTGCCTCGGACTTCCAAAGTGCTGGGATTACAGGTGTGAGCCGCTGCGCCCAGCCATAACCTTTCTAGCTCACTCCCTCTGATAATACTCCAACTCCAAAAACTTCAACTCCAAGACCCTAAATCCATTGATCCAACTACCTTTTCGCTATTCCTCCCCACACTGGCCTCATGTACTGACTTTCTTCCTGAAACAGCTTAGATTCTATTGTCCATCATGAAATGGAATCTAATAGAATCTAAGCTGTTTTGGGGGGAAAGTGAGTATATGAGGTACATGAAGTCGATTTCTTCAGTATTACCTTCATTTCTCTAGTCGTTTTCTGCTTTCTTTGTACTGACAGAACTCTAGCAATGGAGTGGGTGGAGAAAAAGCCAAAAGTGGTTGACTGACTCCCCGTAAATTTGAGATCATTATTGTCAAGGGGCCATAATGCATGGCTACCCTACCACATTTCTCCAGTTTCACACACTCTCCCACCTTGCTACATAACTATTTCAAGTCTCCTGTCTCTTCAAACCTCCAACACTTCCTCCCTCATCCTCATTTAGCTGATGATTTTGCTTCCAATTCATGAGAAAATCAAACAAACCAAAAAGAACATCTACAAGTTCCCAGCACCCACCATGACTTCCAACTAACCTGTAACTCTGCTTTGATACTCTCTCTGCCTTCCTTTCCTTACTGCAAGCCAATTATTTGTCTTTTAGCTAATGTCAAATCCTCCTCAGTTCTCAAGCATCTGTGCTAAAAGACCCAGGTTTTATCCCCAATCACAAAACTAAATTTCTGTAAAATATAACCAAAATTAATTACTAGAAAAAAATAAAATTTAAAAACAAGCATCCAAAATGCAAGCCCAGACTTTTTAAAACCTGCTTAACCATTTTAAAGTGTATAGCTCAGTGGTATTAAACACATTCACATTGTTGTACAACCATCCCCATCAAGAACTCCAGAACTTATTTTTCTTTTATTTATTTATTTTTTGAGACAAGGTCTTACCCTGTCACCCATCAGGAGTACAGTGGCACAATCACGGCTCACTCAACCTCAAACTCCTGGGCTGAAGTAATCCTCCCACCTCAGCCTCCTAAGCAGCTAGGACTACAGGCATGTACCACCATGCCTGGCTAGTTATTTATTTATTTATTTATTGCAGAGACAAGGTCTCACTGTGTTGCCCAGGCTTGTCTCAAACTCCTAGGCTCAAGTAATCCTCCTGCCACAGACTTCTAAAGTGCCGGGATTACGGTCGTGAGCCGATGTGCCAGGCCTCCAGAACTTTTTTATCTTGCAAAGCTGAAAGCTTGTACTCATTAAACAATAACTCCCCATTCCTAACTTCCCCCAATCCCCGGCCATCACTGTTCTGCTTTCTGTCTCTATTAATTTGACTATGCTAGGCAGAATTTTTATTATTAAATCCAGCACACATAAAATTTTTCTGTAAAATTGTTATAAAAGTTTCAAAATATTAATTCTGAATTGCTGTCACAAACTGGTGACAAACCATTTCTAGACGGCCACTAGTCCACTGATCATACTTTGAGAAGCTCAAGTACTAGGTCTCATACCACATCACTTTCTCAAAGACACCTATCCAGCAATTCTTCTTCTCGCCTACATCACTATTTTTCTGCTATTACCTCTCATTGCTATAGCAACATGAATTTATTTCTTCCATCTTAAAACAATCAAACAAAAAACCCTCCCTTAGGTTGCAGTGAGCCGAGATCATGCCACTGCACTCTAGCCTGGGCAACAGAGCGAGACTCCATCTCAAAAAAAAAAAACCCTCTCTTGACTGGACTTGACCCCCCACCCACTGCCCCATTTCTCCATTCTCTTTTCTGCAAAATGCCTCACAAAGGTGGCTTGTACATAGTCTCACTCTGTTGCTCAGACTGGAGTGCAGTGGTGCAATCTCAGCTCACTACAACCTCCGCCTCCTGGGTTCAAGCGATCCTCCCACTTCAGCCTCCCAAGTAGCTGGGACTACAGGCGTGTGCCACCATGTCCAACTAATTTTTGTATTTTTTGTAAAGATAGGGTTTCATCATGTTGCCTAGTCTGGTCTCGAACTCCTCAGCTCAAGCAATCTGCCTGCCTCAGTCTCCCAAAATGCTGAGATTACAGGCATGAGCCACCTCGCCTGGCCTTGACATCCTTTTTCTCATTTTTGGTGAGATCCTCTCTGGTTAAGCTTTTACCTCCTCCACTCCACTGAAATGCTCTTGTCAAGGTCACTAGTGGTGTCCATTTGCTGACACCAGTCAATTCTCAGTCCTCGTGTTACTTGACCTACCAACATCGCTAAACACAGCTCATTACTTCCCCCTCCTTGGCTACCATGACATTCCACCCCCTTGGGTCTTCCATCTCACTGGCTGCTCCTAGTTTCTCCTCATTTCTCTGACCTCTAAATACTGTAGTACCCCAAGGCTCAATATTTAGACTTTTTATCTTTTCCATGTACACTCCTTCATAATCTTATCCCATCACGTTACTTTAAATATTATCTATGCTGTGGTAACCCCAAAATTATATCTCTATTCTGAATTTCATACTTACATATCTAAATGCCAGCTAAACATCTCCCCTTATATGTCTAATAAGCTACAATTTTTCTTGGTAGTTACTCAATAGATTTCCCCTCAAGTAACACGGATAAGCCAATAAATACCAAAGAGAATACGACCGCCAATATTAGCTTAGACCAATCACGATTTACTCTCCGTCTGATCTGTGAGTTACTTTCCCTAAGGACTTGCTTGTAGTGGAGGAAAATTATCATTAAAAATTAGAGTTCTAGGCTGGGTACAGTGGCTCAGGCCTGTAATCCCAGCAATTTAGGAGGCCGAGGCTGGTGGATCATGAGGTCAGGAGATGGAGACCAGCCTGGCCAACATGGTGAATCTCCATCTCTACTAAAAATACAAAAGAAATTAGCCAAGTGTAGTGGCACACACCTGTAGTCCCAGCTACTTGGGAGGCTGAGGCAGGAGAATCGCTTGAACCTGGCAAGCAGAAGTTGCAGTGAGCTGAGATCACTCCACTGCACTCCAACCTGGACGACAGAGAGAGACTCCTTCTCCAAAAAAAAAAATAGAGTTCTAGCCAGCCAAGGTGGTTGACACTTGTAATCTCAGCACTTTGGGAGGCCAAGGCAGATAGACGGTTTGAGACCAAGAGTTTGAGACCAGCCTGGGCAAGATGGCAAAATTCCATCTCTACAAAAAAAATACCAAAAAGTAGTTGGGCATGGTGGTAGTTTCGGCTACTCTAGAGACTGAGGTGGAAGGATCACCTGAGCCCTGGAGGTCGAGGCTGCAGTGAGGCATCGTCGCGCCACTGCACTCCAGCCTGTGTGACAGAGTAAGACCCTATCTCAAAAAAAAAAAAAAAAAAAAAAATCAGGGTTCTGCCATCAGGAAAGATTGGAGTCACAGTTGATTTGCTTGATTTACAATCAATGAAGCACAAACGAAGGATCAAAAATAAATCCAAATTACCTAGGAACTTAGTATAATACTAAAGGTAGCATTTCAAGTCAGAAAGAAAAAGGTGGAATTATATTTGGTGTTAGAATAACTGGATAGACATCTAGAAAATTTTAACTTGGATTTACACTTCACGCTATTCACTAAGACAAATTTCAAATATATCAAAGATTAAAATGTAAAAAAGAAGACCAGGCGTGGTGGCTCACGCCTGTAATTCCAGCACTTTGGGAGACCTAGGCAGGCAGATCACTTAAAGTCAGGATTTCGAGACCACCCTGGCAAAGATGGTGAAACCCCATCTCTACTAAAAATACAAAATTAGGCAGGGTGCAGTGGCTCCCAGCACTTTGGAAGGTCAAGGCGGGTGAATCACAAGGTCAGGAGTTCAAGACCAGCCTGACCAAGATGGTGAAACCCCATCTCTATTAAAACTACAAAAATTAGCCAGGCGAGGTGGCAGGCACCTGTAATCCCAGCTACTCGGGTGGTAGAAACAGGAATATCGCTTGAACCTGGGCAGCAGAGGTTGCAGTGAGCCAAGATCGAACCACTGCACTCCAGCCTGGGTGACAGAGTGAGACTCCATCTCAAAATAAATAAATAAATAAATAAATAAAATAAAAAAGAAGGAAGGAAACCGTAACATACTGGAAGAAAGAACCATGGGAGAATTTTTTAGAATCTTAAAGTGAGGAAAATCTTTTTAAGTACAAAACAAGAGCTGGGCGCAGTGGCTCACACCTGTAATCCCAGGACTTTGG